ATTTTGTAAATTACTAAAAAGGGCTTGGTCTAGTCTTCAGTAAAAATCAAGTGAAGGGTAAATTAGTAAGAATGGTGGCTTTGATTTGAATGGGTAGGTATCTGATTAATAAATAGAGCAAAGTGTGAAATTTCAACAGCCTTGTCAACATCAGCATCCTCACAAACAATGAAAGACAATTTTCCTCCAAGTTCCAATGTCACTTGCTTAAGATTGCTTCTTGCAGCTAGTTGAAGTACAGTCTTTCTAGTATCCGTCGATCCAGTGAATGCCTACTGCAAAATTAGAAGGAAAATAAAATGAATTTCTAACAATATATTAATATAAATGGATGAAGTATATTAATATCTGTAAGGCATAATCTAAAGGATATGGACATAAAAATACCTTGTCCATATCCATATGACTTGCAAGAGATGCACCAGCAGTTGGACCATAGCCAGAAACTATATTCATAACATCTGAGGGAAGACCAGACTTAATGTCGGAAATACAAGTGCAACCAAAATAGTCATAAAAATCTTAAAAAGAAAAATAGCAAATTACACAAATTGAGTTTAACTTTTGAGGTAAAAAACTAAAGGCTAGAATAATTGTTTCACAAATGGCATCACACATCAAAGCATTCTGTATTTCTTTTTTGAGCTTCTGGCTTATTAGTTATGAGCTGACCTCGTGAAGTAGTCTTGCCACGATGAGAGCCGTTAGCGGTGTTTGCTCAGAAGTCTTCATGACAATGGTATTACCACATGCTAGTGCTGGTCCAACTTTCCAAGTGAAAATAAGTAGAGGAAAATTCCAAGGTATAATTTGTCCTGCTACACCAATTGGTTCATGCAATGTCTGGACATGATAATCTCCATCAGCTGGGACTGTCATCCCATGAATTTTATCAGCTCACCTTGTAAGAACCGCGGTATTAACAACAAATTCATTAGAACAATTTAAAAAGGATTATTGACATAAGGAACATGTAGTTGTTGTTACTGATAGTTGTTTTTACTTTCCTGATCCCTCAAGATTTTTTGATAAATTGCACCATTACATATCCTCTCAAAGACTTCACCTCCAGCTGCATACTCCATCACTATCACAATGAAAATCAACAACAACATCATTCAAATTTCAAGTCAGCTGCATACTCCATCTTAATATTAGAAAGATTATGAAAATGACAAGTGATTCTCCTGATTAAGGATAAACAACGGCAAGCTTGTGAGATTAAAGAGAGCAACATACGAGTGACAAGCAGCAGCGGCAAATTTCACTCTTGGCTGACCAATATATGCTTCGGTGTGTATAATCTAAAAACATCACGAATATGAGTTTAACTAAATAAGATCAAAATTACAAACAGGAAATAAACACATATAAAAGAAAACAAAGTTACATGCTAAGAACATTTTGTACTCACGAAAATGCAAACACCGCCATACAACAAACATGAACAACACAAACTACATGTTGCATAGGTCGTACCACAAGTTTAGGAAACAAAAAGTACCTGTCTATGCATATTATTCAACTCAACCTTGTCATGATCAAGAACACCCAGTTTACCTGAGTACAATTTTCAAAATGTAAGCTTTGATGAGATTATAGATTATAGAACAAAGCAAAAATCATTAGAAAAAGTGTCATATTTTACCAACACCAGAAGCTGCAAAATATAACAATGCAGAAGCCCCCAGCCCTCCAGCTCCCACAACTAAAATTGACGACTTCAACAAAACTTCAACAAAAAGTGTCTATTTTCTTACCGATCATATTGAAATTAAGTTCAGTGACAGCAGCAATTCTAACAAATATCAGTCACGCCATTTCTTGACAATTCTAACATTTTATGATTTGGAATTGAAAAGGAACCAGAAGTTTGATCATGTCAAATTAAAGTTTGTGTGTAGTGATTGGCTTGAGAACGCACTATACACTGCATCATGCAACAATATTTATCATATTGATACCCAAATCTTGTGCTCTTTAGATAAAGGGAAATCCATGTATCAAATGAATCCATGTAACATATTTATATATTTGGGTGAAACATTTCATTAAAAATGAAAGTTTTGTTTCAGATTGTATTGCATGGTACCATAATACAGACTTTCATAATACATTACGATAAACACTCATTCATCATCCAAACTAATAGGAACATGTCGCTCTCCGGATAAAATCTTACAGAAATTTAACGAGTATCTATTTCTTACTACTATCACACAATATCACGCACTCACATTAAATAAACCAGTACCACTGCAACGATGAAGAGATATCATCTAATCAAAATAGATACACCCGGAGCCGTGTTTATCTCTCCTCCAATGTAGTCTTCCAAATTGAAGTTCCCTATATACATGTTACATTTTGTTCGAGCATAAAAATTTATGATAAAAATGGGAAGAAAGGGAAGTTCAATTTCAGTTTGCAGAAAACTAAATTACTAATATCCTAACCTCGTTGTCTAGAGTAACTGCAGCCAGCGTTGAGTGCATATCTCATTTGTTGTAATGTTGCTTTGTTGTTGAATATGAAACTGGAGAGTATGTTGTCAATACAATCAAGCATTAGCTGTGTTTCAGCGAGACATGGTCCACTACAGAAAAAATCAGTAGCCTCTGGCGGCACCTTAATATTCCCATATGGGTTTAATCTATATGCAGCATCACAACCAGCATAAATCTGTGACGTTACTTCCGGGGAAAAATGGGTGAAGACTGAAGAGTATTTTTGAGTTATGTCCAAAAATAAGAGAATTATCATAATACATTCACTATAAATACTCTCACGAACCATGATAGATAAATTATTACAAGGAGAAATGATCATTTTCACGCAAAATATGAATAATGGACTGTTGTGAGAAAGGGTTTAGATTGAATTCAACATACCATCCAGGCCAATTCTCAGTCTAAATTTTGGGCCTGTTTGGAGAAGTAGGAGTAAATTGATCACAATAGAATGAATTGCAAGTATCAATCTGCAAATGAATCATAAATAAGCAGGTTATCATCTAAATGTGACCTACTGCATAGATATTTATTGTTATTTACAACAACAAAAAACCTTTAATAAAAAATAGAAGAATGTGTAATGATTGAAGATATTATGACTTATGATCCAAAATCCAAACTTTTCAACATTTTTTGATAAGCACATTCACAATCTAATATCAAATCAAATCACACAACAACAAACACAATCAAAATAAGAGAAAAATGAATATAGAATCCAACCTTGTGTGTACGTAACACCGGATCATTAACCGTCAACCCAACAGTTTCCTCATAAACTTTTTTTTCATACAACAAACAGATTTGTTTCAATTAAAACTTAGAAAATCATGAATTATCAATTAATGCATTTGTATCATCATAGTGTAGAAGTTAACCTTGGATAGTGGCAGAATCCCCTTCCAAACGAATAATTTCACCAATGAGATTATCATGACCGACACGCACCAATTCATACATAGCATCCCCATTCATGCCATCTGCAACCACGACAGGTCCAGATACCTGTTTTCATTCAGCAAAATTCAAACACATCAATACGACGATTTATCATATCCAAATTCTCAATCAAATCGGCTTCAACAAATCACAACAACATACAAATAAACCAATAGTGTAACCATAAAACAACAAAAACAAAATTGATCAAAAAATTAGCAGATAGATCACGCAGTGACATCAGAACTTGAACAATTGTAAGTCGTAAACCAAAACACAAATTAAGCTATGTATATTGTAAGTCGTAAACCAAAACAAAAATTAAGCGATGTAAATTATAAGTCGTAAACCAAAACACAAAACCAAAACTGTAGAAGACAGAACAGAGAAATATCAGAAAAATCAAAACCCTAAAATAAGAAAAAAATGTACAAAGCTAAAGCTATGTTAAAAGTTAAAACAGAAAACCAGAAACCAGAAAAACCATAAACCAGAAACTTAGAAACTATTCTTCATTGTTTCTTTCCCGGTCCATAATCACAAACCGTCAAAAACCACTTCAAACACTCACCACCATCTAACAAATTCAACAATCGTGTAACCATTCCTTCCAAGCCACTTATTTCAATGAAACACTACAAAAATCAAAGAACATAACAACAAATTTTTTTCAACAAAATCTACTATGAATACAAGAAGAAGAGGACATGAAAGAAAGAACAATAGAAGAGGGAAAAAACATACCTTTTGCGATCGTGTAGCACCAATGAGAGTGATGAACCCGCTAGGGTTTGATAAGAAAAGAGAAAGGGGTAGAGAGAAAATGGAAGAACTGTGGAAAGAGAAAGAAAGAGTAACCGAGAAAGAGGGAGGAAGAAAATTGGAAAGAGGGAAAAGGTGAGGGAAAGAGGGAAGAGTAGAGTTTTCAAAAAAATTCTGCCACTTGGCAAAATTGGACCATGCTATTGGTCAATTATGTTGTATTTTGTAAATTACTAAAAAGGGGTTGGTCTAGTCTTCAGTAAAAATCAAGTGAAGGGTAAATTAGTAAGAATGATGGCATTTGATTTGAATGGGTAGGTAGTTGATGGTCAATTATGTTGTATTTTGTAAATTAAGAAAAAGGGTTTGGTCTAGTCTTAAATAAAAATCAAGTGAAGGGTAAATTAGTAAGAATGGTGGCATTTGATTTGAATGGGTAGGTAGTTGATATGTTGTATTTTGTAAATTACTAAAAAGGACTTGGTCTAATCTTCAGTAAAAATCAAGTGAAGGGTAAATTAGTAAGAATGATGACATTTGATTTGAATGGGTAGGTAGTTGATGGTCAATTATGTTGTATTTTGTAAATTAAGAAAAAGGGTTTGGTCTAGTCTTAAATAAAAATCAAGTGAAGGGTAAATTAGTAAGAATGGTGGCATTTGATTTGAATGAGTGGGTAGTTGAATAGTACCAAATTCCCAAAATTTACAAAGAAAATGTTTAAAGTAACATAAACCCACACAAAAACTCTACTGCACCTACCGCTGCTGTTCCTCATCGGAACAGATGTCTCTGCGCATGTCAATGTCAAAATTGCTCAAAAAACTTCGCTTTCCTGCTTCTCTCACTTTCTCCGCCTCTACAGTTACCAAAAATCCACTGCCCATTTCGTTTTCCGGTACCATTCATACTTACTCTTCTAATATCACTTTCCTGATTTGATTTTGATGCCACTCTTTACATTCTCTACTTAGTACAATCTTTTGTGTTTTTGTGTAATTGTGTGTATTCAAACTTATTGGAATTGAAAACAGAATAGTAAATTATTGCTTCAATTTTTCAGGAAAGGGGGTTTCCCACTGGTATCAAACTGGTGCATATGGTTGGAGAACAAATCTTAGGGATCCTTGTTTGTGGATTGTTATATCTGGACATGTAGGTATGCTTTTGTTATTTCTGTTTTTGGATACAATATGTAATGATGCAATCTCTGTAATTTCTGTTATGATTATACTATCTTTTGGTTAAAGTAGTTCAATACTCTCAAATAGTTTACATGAACTAGTTTGATTTTGATGTAGTTGCAACACTTGGAATTAGTGCCAACGTTGCGTTTGCTGAGGACGTAATGTCCAAAACATCTTATGATGATAGTACTGGTGGATTAAAAAAAATTGAGGATGGTTCGGTGGCGTCAAATATACATACAGCAAAATGGAGAGTTTTTACCGATAAAGGAAGAGAGTTTTTCCTAGAGGTTTGTGGTTTCTTCGTGTTGCCTTGCTTTAAAGATTCTTCAGTTATGTTGTGATTGTTGTTGATTGTATTATTTTCTACGTTCTTCTAGGGAAATTTTGAAGATGCTGAAAGACTCTTTCTTGCTGCCATACAAGAAGCTAAAGAAGGTTTTGGCGAGCAAGATCCGCATGTTGCGTCTGCATGCAACAATCTGGTTGTTTTATCTGCGCTTGCTAGTTGTTTCTTTCATAATTGGTTTGGAACTATACAATATTCTAGTTCTTGGAATTCACAACTATTGTTAAGGTTAATTATGAAAATAAATGAGCGTGTTATTATACAACTCAAATTTCTATTATTGTCTTTTCAGGCAGAGATGTACAGAGTCAAGAAAGCATTTGACAAAGCAGAACCACTGTATGTGGAAGCTATCAAGATCCTAGAAGAATCGTTTGGTCCTGATGATGTAAGGTAGGGTTTAGTTGCTGTGAAACCGTCATAAGCGATGCTTCATCTACTTTACTGCTCAGTATGAGGCATTACCAATTTGTTGATTAATAGGGTGAAAAATCTTATGCTTTTGCAGTGGATCAAAGTAAAATTTATATAAAATGAAATTGATTTGTCCTCTTTTCTCTATTATAAATTTCCTTTTACTTTAGTGTTTGTTCTGTGAAGATATATCAAATAAAATCTAAAACCTATGGCTAACTGTGATCGTGCAGGGTTGCGGTTGCTGTTCACAACCTAGGGCAGTTCTACCTTGGACAGCGAATGTTGGATAAAGCTCAAGTTAGCTATGAGGTAATTTGTTGAATTTAACTATCCGGATCTTGATGATGTGTGTGCTGCATTGTTTTTATATATTGCATAGAGGATAACTTTATTCATCAATTCTAATAAACAGTAATACTTGTCAACTTTACCATATTTTCTGATAACTCTAATGTATTTAAAAGTATGGTAATTAAGCCTCAGGTCATTACTTTTTTATAGACGTGCTATTTTGTATGTGATTAAATACCAGGCTATATAGAGCGAACAAGAAAACAAATTTAGCGTTGCAAAGCAAAGAATGTTACAATGGACAAGTGACTGTTCAAGACAAGTTAGAATTATGAGGGAATGTATCAGAAGAAAGTTAGGGTAGCACTTATTGTAGAAAAGATGACAGAATCTTGTGTTAGGAGGTTTGAGTATTTACTGGAAAAGACCAGTATAAGTACCAGTGAGGAGAGTAGACTAGATAGATAATTGTCCAATAATTAGTAGAGTAAGATCAAGATAAACCATAGGTCAAACAATCAAGAAAGATTTGGATTTACATCATGACAATATTATGGTGTTGTTTGATCCATATAACAATTAACAACCCATCTAATCGAAAAAGACTTTGTTGTGCATATATTTTGCATTATTATGTTAGCAGAATCAAATATCATCACTTTGGGATCTTGTAAGTTAAGTAAGATGTTTGTGTTGGACAATTATGGTCATTCACTCTACAACTTTACACTATCTTTTTTTTGTGACAGTAACATATTTTTATAGTGTTGTTAGTCTATTTCCTTGCATTCATTCTATTATACTAACCACCTTCTCTCTTTTTAATTTTGTTTTTAACAGCGCGCTTTGAAGGTATAGACCTATTATACTCATGAAGAGACAAATATTTTCATCAGCATCTGTAACTGCTTTATAATTCATTACTATATCTTAACATCATTCCAATGCTTGATGATCGAGGCCATGCTCTCTTAATCTTAATGTCTATTTATTCAGATAAAACAGCGTGTTTTGGGATATGGCCATTCAGAATGTTCTGATACGATGTATCAAATTGGCATGGTAAGTGTTTGTCTTTTCACTATAATCTTTTCCTCATTTGTTTGCCTTGTTTAGTAAAACCGTCTAATATTCTCTATAAATTGATTTTAAGATGGCAATATAAGGTATGAAACAAATGGCGTGTTTTGTTTATTTTCTATTTTCATTTTCAAAGGGTACTGTTGAGAGTTCCACATTGATGCGATATTGTATGAAAGTGTGCTAATAAGTGGGAGACATCTCTCACCTTACAAGTCAGTTTTCTATGTTGATTTGACTCGCCCCAAATTCTAAGAGGTATCAGAGCCTATCTAAGATTTGTTGGGCCACTCAAGTCACGCTCAAGATGTTCAATCCTGGGCATGACAGGTGTGTGTGTGTGTTTTAGGAGTCCCACATTGGATGAACTATGACATGAAATTGTGTTTATAAGTGGGACACATCTCATCTTGAAATCCAGTTTTTAGAGTTGAATTAGGCTCAACTCAAATTCTAAGATATGTTTGCAATAATAGTTTCGAAAACTATAAGAGAAATTATTAAGAAAGATCTCGAGTTTATTTTTACAATCTTTTCTTTACATGCCCAAACCACTTAAGTCTATTTTTACAACTTTTCTTTACATGCCCAAACCATCTTTTCTTGATACGACATAAAAAAGTATTTCTATCCTCTAATTTCTCTTTCATGTTTTCTTAACAAACCTCTAAAACTAAGAAGTGTGAATCAAGGTAATGCCTGAAAAAACACTAACATAAAGAAGCTTGATTTGCTTTACTTGTATTAGTCTGGTTTGCATCGCGAAGCAATGTTCCGTGTTAGCTTGGTAGTGGTTCAGAATTCTAAGAGTTAAGGGGATTATGTAATTTCTTTGCTCAGTATGTAATTTCCTTGTTGGTGACTCCATTGTAATCTTCTCTCTTTTATGCTTCTCTTTCTTTTTTATTTTGTGTGGCTCAATTGGACCTTAAGCTACGACATTTATGTTCAGGTGCTGTATCTTCAAGGAAAAGAAAAGGAGGCTGAGACCATTATTAAGGACTCAATAAGCATGCTAGAGGTTGTAATAGATTGTTATTTACATTCAATTCCCTCATCTGTAGCGTTTGGTAAATTTGAACTTTTTTTCATAAGCCATTTTGTTTACCTGTGCAGAAAAGTGCCGAAGGGGAGTCAGTTGTATGCATTAAAAGACTTCGTTTCCTCTCACAGGTCGTTTTTCTTAATCCTTTTGGCCCTTGAAATAGTGAAATTTATTTGATAGATAGTGACTGTACTAGAGAATAAATGGATGCATAAAATTTTTAAATGTTGATAAGAATGAAAAATCCTTACTTGAGAGGTAAACTAGTTGTTGTTTATGTATCTGCTGTGCTTTAGATACAAAACTAAATTTTATACAGAAACCATTTTTTTGGGTCTTAACCTAACAACTTAAACTTTGGTTAGAGTTGGTTTTTGGCATTGTATTCGAGAGACTCTTGTACTGATTGCAAAATAGTTCGATCCAGCTTGGTCTCCCCCAATTTTTTTTTAGTTTGATTAAATTTTTCAGCTTAAGACGAAATGTGTTAGTGCATTGTTCACTCCTCAAAGGGGTTCGGTTCCCACTTTTCTGTCCTAACTTTCTTAATGATATTGAGCTATTTGCTATAATTTTTCAGTTGTATTTGAAATCACATCGTCTTGATGAAGCTGAGATGGTCCAGAGAAAGATCCTGAATAGAATGGAATTGTCAAAGGTTCTTTTTGTGAACTTCTTTCTCCTCTTCCGCTTTCAGATCGGATTTCTTCTTTAATATTGGTGCATGTGTGCATGCACAATTTAATGGCAGATGAGTTCCAACTTCTGTCTTTTGATTCAGAATTAACTGTGATAATCTTGTGAATGAAATAAGAAAATGTTGCCAGAATAGAGATATTTCGTAATCTATTATTATCGTTAAAAACATGATGCAATTTGTGTAATACAGGGGTGGAATTCTTTGGACACAGTTATTGCAGCTGAATCTTTGGCCTTGACACTACAAGCATCTTCCGAAACAAAACAGTCCAAAGAGCTTCTTGAAAGGTTACCTTAATATTATTAGTACATCAAAACTTGGGAACTTAACTTTGACATTATGCAAATGAAATCCTCTCTATCTGTTTCTCTTGCAGATGTCTTGACGTCCGGAAAACCTTACTTCATAGCGATCATATTCAGGTTTGTTGTTCCTTGATAACGATTTTGGCATTTAGCATTTTATTTAGGTTTCAAATCCCTCTAAAATTGATTGCAAAAGGGATACTTACACATAGTATTGTTCTTATTATATGCATGCTAATGCTTGAGATGAATATGTTGCTTTTGTTAAATACGATAAAAACGTCATTTTTTTTACCTGTGGTCAGATTGGTGCGAACCTACTTCATCTAGCAAGAGTGGCAATGCTTGATTGCAGCCTACACAAAAAATCGGATGTTTCTAAAGCTAAAGCTGAGCTTGATATAGCAAAGGATCATTTGCATAATTCCATAAGGTATCTATTACTTTGACGCGCCTATGTCTTCCATAACTATTTTACATATAAAGAACAAACCAAATTATCATGTTTTTTCATATTTTTTAAGTGCCGATTATTCTTTTCTTCATACAGTGCAGTTTTCACGTTAAAGTCTTTTTCCTTATTTATTTATGTATCCGGATATTATAATATGTGCCAAACACGGATTATTAAAACACACATTCAATCCACCAATTTCTCTTTTACATATCTCAGGATCGCGCGACAATGTTTAGATAAGGTATTGAAACAAAAAGACAAGTTGAAGAAAAACAGTATGCTTGTACGTTCTAGAAAGGAAGCCCAAGCAACACTTGTCATATTGGTTGGTTTATTTCCCCATAACTAGCTTTCTCTTATGCATGTATATTAAAATAGAATTGCAATATGTACCCTTCTGTAAATAAAAGTCGTGATTTGTTTATTAAAGTAGGCATGTAATTTTGCAGTTGCAATCACTCAACACTCTATCATCGGTGGAGTTGGCTAAGCAAGAATTGCAGCAGATTCAGGTTAGATTTTGCTGAGAATCCCACTTTTGGTGTGATTCTGCTTAAAAAACGTTTATTAGTACGAGACATCTCTCACTTTACAAGTTGTTTTTTTAAAGATGAGTTAGACCGAACTCAAATTCTAGCACTGATAGGGACCACGTGACAGGGAATGAGACAAATGAGGTTATGGTTTATCATCAGGCCAATGGGCCTAAGGTATGGAGAGTGTATTCTAGAAGGGGCAAAAAGGGGAAAGAGCAGTAATTCCGTTAGAGGTGTAGAGAGAGAATGATTGTAAGATTCCACAATATAAGGAGTGGGTGAGAGGTTGAGAGGATTATCTTGGAAAATATTCTGTTTGCTTAGTCATAAATAGGAGGTTCTAGCCACCTATAGGAACTTGCTCTGTGTCAGATCTAGGGTCATTTCCCTTTTTGTAATTCCACTATTTCATCAATTAATACAACAATCATTTTGGTTGTGTGTGTGGCTGCTTTTTTCTCTTAATATTTCTGTTCGTGCTTGCTGGGTTTCCAACAAATTGGTCCGACCTACCGGATATTCGACGACAGAGCCGGCGAATGCCACCTAAGCGTTCACGAAGATGGAAGCTAGGGTCAAAGTCTTAGAGAGTGAGATTTCGGAGGTACGTTCAGCTCTCGATGAGGTGCAGAAGACAGTGACAACAAACCACGCTAACTTGATAGCAATGTTGGAAAAATGTTTGGGTAGGACGTTGACGGTAGATGACGGAGACACGAGTGGCTCTGTTAGAGGCTCGCCGGTGGTGACAAAAAATGGTGAACCACCTAGTACCGTTATCAACAACCTTCGTGGAGATGCGTTGACGGAGTTTCGTCACTCCGTAAAGAAAGTTGAACTTCCGATGTTTGACGGTGAGGATCCGGCAGGATGGATCTCACGAGCGGAGGTCTACTTCCGGGTGCAGGACACTTCACTGGAGGTAAAGGTGAACTTGGCACCATTGTGTATGGAAGGTTCAACGATTCATTTCTTCAATTCTCTCATGGATGAAGATGACGTTTTAACATGGAAAGTGTTGAAGAGTGCTCTCTACGTTATGGTGGAAACGGAGATGGTGACGTTTACGAACAACTTTCAGAACTACGTCAAAAGGGTACGGTTGAGGAGTACATCACAGATTTCGAGTATTTAATTGCTCAGATCCCAAAATTACCTGACAAACAATTCCAAGGATACTTTTTACATGGCTTGAAGGGTGAAATTCGTGGAAAGGTACGAAGCTTGATGGTGGTGGGTGGTATGACACGAGCAAAGCTTCTCCAAGTTTCACGCGCTGTAGAGAAGGAGGTTAAGGGAGAGATGGGTTTGAGCTATAACCGGGGATCCAAATCATATGGGTCGGGTTATAAGCCCAACAATAGTGGAACGGGTCGTCAAAGAGGGTCAGATTGGGTTTTTATAAAAGGACCCCAAGAACGGGGAACAAGTAGTAATGAAAAAAATCTGGTGGGACCAAAGAGAGATAGTTTGGGCCCAAATGAAGGAAAGAGATCCGGTCCACGTGAAAGAGGTTTCTCACACCTCACATATCCCCAATTATTGGAAAGGAAACAAAAAGGATTATGCTTTAAATGTGGTGGACCTTTTCACCCTATGCATCAATGCCCAGACAAGCAGTTGAGGGTGTTAATAGTAGATGAGGATGAAGATCCACGAGAAGGGAATATTTTGGCGGTGGAAGTAAATGAAAAGGACGATGTCGAAACTGATGGGGAGATGAATATTATGAGCTTGAATACCTTCATCACACCCAGCCGCGAACAACCTCAAACGATCAAGTTCCAAGGGAAGATTCGAGGCATGCCGATTTTGATTTTAATCGATAGTGGAGCGACACATAATTTTATTGATCAAAGACTGGTGCGAAGAATGGGATGGGAGATTGTGGACACACCCGACATGTCAGTCAAATTAGGGGATGGCTTCCAAACTAGGACTAGAAGGCGTTGTAAGAAAGTGGAAGTGGAGATGGGAGAAGTTAAGATTGAATGCACCCCACATTTGTTTGAATTAGGGGGTCCTGATTTAATCCTAGGAATTGAATGGTTGAAGACTCTTGGAGACACTATTGTAAACTGAAACAAACAGACTACGAATTTTTGGAGTGGAGGGAAGTGGGTTACACTACAGGGACTGAGGAGCAAGGTTGATAAGGAGGAAGCGTTACAAAGTTTGTTGAGCAGGAGTAGACGCAAAAATGAAGGAGTGTTGTGGTCCATTGACAAGACCCACAAAGGTTTGACAGAAGCTCAATTGTCTGCAGATCAACAAAAGGAGCTACAAAAGGTGTTGAAAAACTGTGTAACTGTGTTTGAAGAGGTGGTCGGGTTACCTCCTAACCGGAGGAGGGAACATGCGATTAACATTCGTGAAGGAGAAAGTCCTGTCAATGTAAGGCCTTATCGCTACCCCCACCTCCTTCATAAAAATGAAATAGAGAGACAAGTTCAAGAGATGCTGGAAACCGGAATCATTAGGCACAACTCAAGTGCATATTCCAGTCCCGTCATACTTGTGAGGAAGAAGGATCACACATGGCGTATGTGTGTGGACTATCGTGCTCTTAACAAGGTGACAATCCCGGATAAATTCCCAATTTCGGTGATTGAAGAATTGTTAGATGAGTTACACGGCGCTCGGTATTTCTCCAAATTAGATTTAAAATTCGGGTACCATCAAGTTAGGGTAAAGAGTGAGGATGTGCACAAAACGGCGTTCCAGACACATGAGGGGCATTATGAATTCTTGGTTATGCCGTTTGGCTTGATGAATGCTCCATCAACTTTTCAAGGGCTTATGAATGAAGTGTTTAAATCAATGTTGAGAAAAGGGGTGTTGGTGTTTTTTGACGACATTCTCATATATAGTAAAGACTAAAGACTGGCAGCATCATGTGAATTAATTGAGCCAAGTACTTCACATTCTGCAAACACATGGTCTGAAGGCTAATAGGAAGAAATGCCAATTTGGGCAAATCAAGATAGAATATTTGGGGCACATGATATCGGAAGAAAGAGTTGTTGTAGATTCCAACAAGTACAGTAGCGTGGTGCAGTGGGGGTGAGAGGATTTTTGGGATTAACCGACTATTATAGAAAATTCATTCGCGATTATGGAAAAATAGCGAAGCCCCTAACGGAATTGACCAAGAAGGATGCGTTTGGAGGGGGACGAGATGCACAACATGCTTTTGAATTGTTGAAGAAGAAATTGATAGAGGCACCGGTGCTTGCTTTGCCGGATTTTGAGAAGGAATTTGTTATTGAGTGTGATGCATCGGGATTTGGCGTTGGGGCTATTTTGTGACAAGGTAAAAATCCTATTGCTTACTTTAGTAAGGCTTTAGGTGTGAGAAACTTGGCAAAATCTGCATACGAGAAAGAATCGATGGCTTGTGTGTTAGCGATCCAACATTGGAGGCCCTATTTATTGGGAAGGAAATTTGTGGTGTCAGTTGATCAAAGAAGTCTTAAGGATTTGTTACAACAAAAAATCATAACTGGTGAGCAACAAAATTGGGTAGCTAAGTTGTTGGGTTTCAATTTTGACATACATTACAAGCATGAGAGATTGAATCAAGGAGCAGATGCTTTATCAAGAATTCAAGAAGAAGGTGAATTCAATAATTTTGTGTCCTATCCATTTTGGGAAGAGTTTCAGCAGGAGAAACATTCTGATGAGAAGCTTAAGAAAATTTGGCAGGATTTATCGGTGGACCCTACAACACATCCTAAGTTCAATATAAACCATGGCACGTTGCTATACAAAGGGAGGTTAGTTATGTCATCACAGTCTACGTTGATTCCGAGAATGTTGAAATTTCATAGTTCACCTCAAGGAGGGCATTCAGGGTTCTTGAGAACTTACAGAAGAATAACTGCTAATGCATATTGGCCGGGAATGAATAGTACTGTTCAAGAATTTGTAAAAGGGTGTGATACTTGTCAGAGACATAAATATGTAGCATCATCTCCAGGAGGTCTTCTCCAACCTCTACCAATTCCAACGAAGGTGTGGGAAGACTTATCAATAGATTTCATAACAGGGCTGCCTAAATCCAAAGGGTATGAAGCGGTGATGGTGGTAGTCGATAGACTATCTAAGTATTCCCACTTTGTGCCCCTCAAACACCCTTATACGGCCATAAGTCTTGCTGAGATATTTGTCAAAGAAATTATTAGGCTGCATGGTATCCCAATGTCAATTGTGAGCGATCGGGACCCTATATTCATGAGTCATTTTTGGAGAGAACTCTTCAAATTACAGGGAACACATATCTCAGCAAGATATTCATCTATCAATGAACAAACGTAGATTTGTGAGTTGATATTTGCTTTGTATCAATCTTTATGTTTATATTGAGAGGATGCACGATTATATTGATCGGAAACAAATTCACATGCTTGATTAAGAGAATATGTACAAGTTAGGTTGATGAAATCTATTCTTGATATGCTTTGTTAAACAAATATCTTTCAAACTTTACTCTTTGCTACTAATCTTGTGAAAACTTATGATACCAAACAAAACAGCTTTGAAAATCTTACTTAAAACTCTTTGAACTATAGAACAACAAGTGATATTACTATGGTTCAAAGATTAAAATTTAATTGTCTAGTTCGTCTGCTAGAGTTTCTGAGTTTTCCAGAAAGTTGTGTGCTCTGTCGGGACGACATTCCTTTATGGTGGTTTAAACTTCTAATCTTAGGATTAGGGACCACCCTAAAAGAAAATCAGGGCTGAGGTTCTAATCTTAGGATTAGAGACCACCCTAAAAGGAAATCAGGGCTGAGGTTTATTCTTTCCCTGAGAGTTGTCCCTTGTGGTGTGATTGGTTTTTTTAGGAGGAATTTAGGGTTTTTTTCTTTAATTCAGGGTTTCAACGCAACAAGAGGAGGGGTTTAGGAGCGCAAATCCAAGAAAGACCCTCGATCCAGAAGAGAGTCACGCTCGTAAGGGTCCGAATGCTCATT